AGTTCTCCGCAGCTCCCTGGGATGTGATCACATAAAATTTTGTGTTCACTTTATTCTTCCCTTTTTCTTGTTCTCTGCCACCCTCCTTTTTTCTTGTCCTTTCTGCCCCCCCCTTTCCCCTTTCTCTCTCTTCCTCTCTTCTCCCTGTCTCTCTCCCTCTCTTTCTTTCCCTCTCTCTCCCCCGCTCCATTCTCCTTCCCTTGTCTTCTGGTCTCCTCTGCCTGGTGGTGGTGGTGTCGGTGCAGCTGAGGTGGCAGGCAACAAACTTGTCCCTGGACTACCAGAGAATGGCCAGTCAGAGTCTAAGCCACCTGAAGTGGAAGGCGGAACACAGGCCACGGGTAATCAACTTCTCCTTAGAATCAAAACCAGGCCAAGGCTGGGCAGAGGCCTGTAGGGAGCTGGGCCCAATGCCCACAAGTACCCTGCATGCTCCATCAGCCGTCTGGAATGGGTAGGGAGTCAACCCTACTCTATAGGAACTGATTTCTTTCCAGGAGCTGTATAATAGGCCCCCTTTAAAACATAGGCATAAGCAGCCTGTGTTCTAGTTCTAGGAAGAGGTGAAGAGGCCTGGCACCACTCTAGTAGCACTATAGATACAGACTTACATGCCTCCCAGGTTCCTTTGTGTTTACCTGTGCTACTGCCAATGCTACTGCCTTAGGAGCCCTCCACATTGTTCCTCCAGCTGTCTGCCTGCCCTCTGATGGGTTGGGTGCTCTAGAGGATAGTAACATGAAAGCAGAGCTGAAGCAGGGTGCTGCCTGCTTGCCCAAAAGGGTCTAAAGCATCTTCTCCTCATGGGATGGTAGCTACTCCCCTGTTTCCCCAGATGAGACGCCCTGCCTCTCCCTTCTACCACTGAGCATTTTCCCCTGGCATGTAGCCATCTAAAAATGGGCCCACCTGAACCAAGTTGTTTCTAGAAGCTTCCCTGGCCCATCTCTAAATGGTTCTGGAGAACATTAAGTTAATGAGAGGGTAACAGATGTTTCTGTGTTTGTCTCCTAATCTTTTTCTCTTGCTATGGGAACAGGGAACTGTTTTTATGTCAGCATGCCAACAGGACCCCTGGACTCAAGCACTGACCCTACAGGAGCACCCACAAGCCCCCCACAACCTGACAGCCTCCCTACCTGGCAGACAGAGCCTCCACCCCAGCTACAAGATGACAATAGAGATCAAAGACACCCCAGCCGCTCTCCCCCAAATCTGGCCCTCAGAGACATGGGCATGATCTTCCGTACCATCGAGCAGCTCACCCTTAAACTCAACAGGCTCAAGGTGAGTGGCACAGGGCTTGGGTCCTGAAAGGCATACAGTCTACCCCATTTCCTAAAGGTGTGTGTCTTTATGGGAGCCATGGACCTGGCCTGCCCTCAGCCCACCCAGTCATGCCTTTAAATCAAGCCCCATTCCTAGGGGTCTTATGAATAGGAGAACTCAAGAAGTATTTCCTCTTCCAGGACATGGAACTGGCCCACAGAGAGCTGCTCAAGTCCCTTGGGGGAGAGTCATCTGGTGGTACCACGCCTGTGGGTAGTTTCCAAATGGAGACAGCCAGATGGACAGATAGCTCCCTTTTACCTCCAGCCAGGGAAGCCCTGGCCTCTGACTCCCAGAACAGCCATGAACTGAGGACCTATCCTGAGGATGGTGAGTGAAGCTAATTCCTGCCTCCATGAAGTGGGGGGAGAAAATGTCACCACACACAGTGAGAGAAGGTGGTTCAAGGGCATTTCCCCTTAAGTATAACTGACTCATTCCCTGAGCTTCAGAAGGGAATCTTTTTTAGGGAAATATCGCAAAAGCTCCCCTAAAAGTAAGAACCAGACTGACCCCTCTTTTTCCCTTGTGCTAGAGGTAATGAACCAGGGAGGTCTGGTCTCACCTTTTTGACCTGTTCCTGTTAAATAGTTCAGAAGCAGATTAGGTAGGCCAGGGATACGGCCATGCCCTAACTCAGGGAGACAAAAGCACAAATCCACCTGATCAAGGACTGGGGGTATGTGGGAGCTAACAAAATAGAAGTTCACTAGACAGCCCCATTTAGGCCTCACAAGAAATGCCAGGGGTTTTTTTTGTTTTGTTTTGTTGGTCGTGGGCTTGAACTCTGGGCCTGGGCACTGTCCCTCAGCTCTTCAGCTCAAGGCTAGCGCCCTACCACGTGAGCCACAGCACCACTTCTGGCTTTTTTCTGCTTATGTGGTGCTGAGGAATCGAACCCAGGGCATGCGAGGCAAGCACTCTACCACTAAGCCAACTTCCCAGCCCGAAATGCCCGTTTTTGAAGGAGTGCTTTGTCACAGATGGATGGTGCTGAAATTGTAGACAAAACGCAGGTACTGGCAAGCTTCTCACCCTCACCATCCTCCCACAGGCTGCGACAGCCCCCCGGAAGACAGCAGCACCACACACAGAGCTGCATCACCAGAACCATAGCCTCCAAACAACATCCTGTATGTCTCCTCCCTGTTGGCCTGAAGCAGGGCACAGCAGAGACAGACCCTAAATGCCCTCCTTGTGGAAGGGGCAGTTTTGGGGAAACATGGAGCTGAGGTTTGGGGGGAGACCTGCATGTTATTTGGTCTGCTCGGATTGGAGTCAAATTCCAGTCTCTTCCCCTCCCTTTAACCCAGTCCTCCAACGCCTCAATGCCCAAAGCATGCTGACCACATCTGAAAGGTCCTGCTCACACTCACAGTGGCCCTCTTGCCCTACACAGCAGGCACACTCGGTACTGTGCAAGGTACCCTGAGGTGTGCAGGTGATGGGAGGAGGCTTTGGTGTGTATGCACTTTCTTCCTCCTGTTCCACAGGCCCCAGGCAGTGCTGGTGCCACCCCTCTCTTTGACACTTTGGTTTCCTATAAATATGTATGTATTGTATGTGCATCTTTGCTATTGTAAATAACTTGACCTTTTTCGTTTCTGTCCCTGGAGTGCTGAAGGCAGTGGCAGGGAGAGGGCTTCCCATAAACTCTAGTCAGCATCCCAGGTGCAGGGTCAGGGCCTGAATGCAGAGTCAGGCCAGACTGTACCTGTCCCCTGGCAGGAAGATCTCAAAGCCTCCAGTTCCATGTAGCTACAGAGCTCCCACTATGCCCTGAGACTTGGTGTGGGCACAAGGAGACAGGACACATGGGGAACTTCTCACCCCATCCTTGTCCACCCTTCCCCCTCTACTCTCATCAAAAACCAGTGTAGCAGGTATGGAACCAAAAGCCGGCCCCAGGAGGTGCATAGGGAATTTGAGTGCTGGAGTCCCCGAACTAAACTAAGACCTTCCCAGGGGCCCAGCCACTCATCCTCACTCCCCTCCCACTTATGAATATACACACTGTGCTAGGTGTATATATACATATATATATATATAAATATATAAAATATATAAAATATAGATATGGAAATGACGTTTTGCTGTTAAGATAATGTATACTCTTATTTTCTTTCTTTCATGGTTAAGATTTTTTTTAAAGAAAAGTTAAATAGTCTTAACTTGTGGTTGTGTGTGTTATTCTCAGGACTGCTGTGTTAAAAGCCAGGCATTGGTGGCTCACGTCTGTAATCCTAGCTATTCAGGAGGCTGAGATCTGAGAATCGAGGTTCAAAGCCAGCCCAGGCAGGAAAATTAGTGAGACTCAATCACCAGAAAACTGGAAGTAGAGCTGTGGCTCGAAGTGGTAGAGCACTAGCCTTGAGCAAAAAAGCTCAGGGACACCCAGGACCTTAGTTAAAAACTCAGGGACACCCAGGACCTTAGTTCAAGCCCCACAACTGATTAAAGAAAAGAAAAAGACTATCTAGGACTGGGTATAAGGAAATAGAGGAAGCAGCCCTTATCCCTGACACCAGACATCCAGGCTCAAGTTTTAACTGTGTTCTTTCCCAGAGCTTCAAAGTTTACTGTCTAAATGTTACACAGCCTGTGGTTGTATAACACATAAAGACATGGAACTTGCTTTACCCAGGAGCAGGCACCAGAGACCAAGGGATCTAAGCAAACTGAGAATAGCCCCTGGCCCATCCTCTTCCCTCCCCATCTCCTCTCCCCCTCCCTTCTGCAGACACAGTCACATCATCCACGACTTAGAGAGATCACTGGAACATTAGTAGACCTGGGTTTGAGGAAGTGGGGATGGCTGATCCTAAGCGCCTTAGTGTGCTCTGTGTTGGGAAAATAGAGGCTGTAGCCAGTACTGAGACAGCTGAGGCGGGAAGACCAGGGGAGCTGCCTCGGCTGCCCTGAGAAGACAGAAACCACAGTGGAGGGGATGTGAAGCCGTTCAGTGTGTGCAGAGTGGAGAAAGGTTGGCTGTCCCTGTACCTTTCCTGGAGGCCCTTCTGGGTTAGTGGTGGGCTTTGCAGAGCCTAGTCTTGGAGGCAAGACTGAAGGGCAGAACTACAGCAGCCCCCACACTCTGGGTGTCCTTGCTTTCAGTTTAATGCTTAGCCTTTGCTATACAGATGTTGAGACACTTTAGCACCTTGTCCAGAGGATTTAAAACCAGTTAAACATCTAGGTGAAGAAGATAAGCAGAAGTGGGGGTGGGAATGGGATATGGGGGATGGAGACTGGTCTCAGTTCCTCAGCCCTACTATCCCACATCTGTGCCATTAGTGATGGGCTCCATTCCAGACCCTTCCCTCTGCTGACTTACACATCCTGGTGGAAGGTACGCCCTTTGGGGACACTAGAGGGAGGAGTGAGTTGTTGGGACAAGAACCCAGAGAGCAGAAGAGAGGCACAGTGGCCCTGAAGAATGCTTCCAGAAGGGCTGAGATCACCCCCAGGAGAACCATAGAGTGATTCAGACCATCACTCTCATGCCATTTCTAAACATGAACAGACTCAAGAATCCAAATAGTGCTGAGACAGTTTGCAAAGAACAGTACAGCAGATTTTGTTACTGGTATGAATCTTCCCAGGGGGCCAGCCCACCCAGAGACAAAGGTGCTTCTGTGGCCCAGAGTCTCAAAGAAGACAGCAGGAAGGGACTAGGTAGGGAAAGCAATGGCCTCCTCCTCCTTGAGTTTGGACTTGATGGGGTCCCTTGGCAGCATCAGCTCCTGGATCATGGCATATGCGGGACACTGTGGGTGGAAGTAGTTTTTCTGAAAGAGAAAAAGCACCCTGTGGCAAAGTAGGTTAGGGAGTTGTAGACTTCAAGAAAGGTTAGTGATTTAGGCCACCAATCCTACAAAAAGACAAATGGAGGCCGGGCACTGGTGGCTCATGCCTGTAATCCTAGCTACTCTGGAGGCTGAGATCTGAGGATCTGAGCCTGGGCAGGAAAGTATGTGAGACTCTATCTCCAACTAACCACCTAAACAGTGGGAAGTGGTGCTGTGGCTCAAGTGATAGAGCCCTAGCCTTGAGCAAAAAGTCAGACAGCTGGGCACAGGCTCATGCCTGTAATCCTAGCTACTCAGGAGGCTGATATCTGAGGATCACGGTTCAAAGGCTGTGAGACTCTTCTCTCCAATTAACCATCAGAAACCCGGAAGTGGTGCTGTGGCTCAAAGTGGTAGAGCACTAGTCTTGAGCTGAAGAGCTGAGGGACAGCGCCCAGGCCCAGAGTTGAAGCCCCATGAACGACCTCCCCCCAACCCCCCCCCAAAAAAAAGAGGTAGTATAACTGCCTAATAAGTGCTAGTTCTAACCCAGGGACCAACACATACACACACTCAAAGCAGGGGTGTGGGGTGGGTGGAGTGACTACATATCATCCTTAGAAATGGAAAATAGCAGCTACCTACTGGAGTGGCACAAGAGAGAGAAGGACTTACCGCTAGAGACAGCCATAACAACCCCATTGGGCCCTTGGACGAAGAAGTCTTCTGTTTGGAGAACTGTACCTGGTACCGAACTACAGTGAGGAAGCCTTCCAGCCCCACCTCTGTGATACGATTTCCTGATGGACAGCACAAAGGAGGTTGTTTCAGGTACTACACTCAGCAGCCTGGCTTTTACAGGTCACCCAGAGTTGACAGCCCAGGCCTCCTTTCCCTAACAGCTCCTACACCCCACTCCCTCCAGTTCCCCTTCTCCTTGTCTGACTTGACCCTTTTCATGCCTCTCTCATGAATTACTATGCTCAGCCCACCTTCCTGATCCTGCACTTCCCTAGCCCCATGCAAGAGGCCTCTGACAACACAATGCCCAACTATGGAAGGACCAGGTATGGACCCTCTGGGCAGGATGAGGAGCAGGGAAGATTGTCAAACTTACGAAGGAGGTTGAGGTGCAAAAGGACTTTGTTCCCAGGCATGAAAACCTTCCCGTCTCTGTGTTCCACAGGCTCCAGGAGAGGGTTGACCATCTCAGTAGTTTCAGCAACCAGCTGCTAAAATACAATACAAAATAATATACAACATATGAATAAAATACAATATACAATACAAAAAGTAAAATACAATAATTACTGCAGCAACAGATAGGGGAACTGGCCAACAGGCCAGTCATTCATTCAACATACGTGTTTTGGCTGATGGCTATAGTCCAGGCTCTGTCCTGAGTGCTAGGGATACAAAATAAATAAGTCCATACCCTCAAGAAGCTGCTCAGTGTGAGAGAGTCAAGAGAGTGAAAGAAGAATGCATGTAGATGGCTCCTTGACAGGTAAGCTGAGTGTATGGGAGCACAAGAGAGACACCTACACCAGGCCAGGGCCAAGAGGCAGCCAAGTGTGTGGACATTTCCAAGGGAAGAAAAAGTATTGCAGGCAAAGAACATGGGAGGTGCACCAGCTCTGGAGGCATGAAGCAGCATGGGTACAGGGGGTTTTTTTTGGTGGTTTTGTTGTCCTTTTTGTTTTGTTTGCAGTCCTGGGACTTGAACTCTGGGCCTGGGCACTGCCCCTGAGCTTTCTTGATCTAGACTAGCACTCTACCACTTAAGCCACAGCACCACTGAGTAGTTTATTGGAAACAAGGATCTCACAAAATTTCCTCCCGGGGCTGGCTTCAAACCATGATCCTCAGATCTCAGCCTCCTATGTAGCTATGCTTACAGGCATGAACCACTGGTGCCTGGTGGACATAAGATTTTTCTTTTTTTTTTTTTTTTTTTTTTGGGGGGTGGGGGGGTTCGGTCATGGGGCCTGAATTCTGGGCCTGGGTGCTGTCCCTGAGCTCTTCAGCTCAAGGCTAGCGCTCTACCACTTGAGCCACAGTGCACTTCGGGCTTTTTTCTTTTTTGCTTATATGGTGCTGAGGAATCGAACCCAGGGTCTCAGGCATGCAAGGCAAGCGCTCTACCACTGAGCCACCTTCCCAGCCCGACATAAGATTTTTCTGAGTATTTCCTAACACTAAGGTTTTTCTGAGTATTTCCTAACACCTGACAATGAGAAGGAACTGTAGTGAGATGACAGTTAAAGCAAAATGGAAAACTCTGACAGTCCCAATGAGAAACAGCAGCTTTCCCAAGACAGGAAATGACTATAAAATGGGAATTAAAAAGAAATCCTACTTCCTCCAAGCTTGTCTTGGGTACCAGGTATGACATAAAAAGGAGGCCCTTCCTGCCTAGCTGTTGTGTGGTAGGGTTGAGACCAAATCTAAGGATAAAGACTCTTGAGCAGTTGACAGGATGATGGGCTGAGAAGTGGGAGCTAGAAAGTTGGTGACCCAGGAAGATGTATAAAGCAAGAAGCACATTGGTTCAGGAAAAGAGGGAGGATCCAGCGGCAAAGGAGAAGGTTAAGGAAGAGCCTTGCATGAGACATGGTGCGCCAATGCGAGGATTTAAAAGTGCCTTGGGGAACTGCTAAGAGGGGCAGAAACAAGCTTTGCCATGCAGTTGTACAGGTACAAATGATGGGGACAGTAATCAGGACACAGCCTCTACTGTGCAGCCCATCCAGCATGGGGATTACGCTAGAGAAGGAAAGGAGGTGGGCCCTGCTCAAGCCAGAGAGGAAGGTCCAGTGAACTGCACAGTTATTCCCGGTCATGGAGGGGTTTGGGACGTGGCAGGTTAAGAGTGGAGGAGAGTTGGAAAAGGAACAGCTGCTATTAAAAGGCAGGCTAGAGACTGTGTTCTCAGAGGGAGGTGCGCTTGGGAGGTCTGGAGTTTGTTCTGTTCCTCTTGTAGCTCACCTCCGACTCCATAAAGATGCTGCGTTTCTCTTTTCCCCCAGTCTTGATGGTTTTTCCTTTAGTTAGCTTCTGCTCAGGGATGGTCACCTCTGGGGCCAGAAGAGGAACCAGAATGCACAGTGAAGAGCTCAGATGCCACTCAGGCTCCCCCAGAGAGAATGGTCAGGCAGATAGGCGTGCTGAACTCCAAGAGCTTTGGGTTTGGGTACAATACAAACAGCTGCAAAAGACACCCTCCCCCCACCCCCAGCTAGGTAAGTGGATTCTTTTTCTGAGGACAGAGCCACAGGGATCCAGTTCCTAGAAATGAGCTGTGGAAGGCAGTGGATCACAGTGTCTGGACCTAGCAAGGCTTTCCACATCATCTAACTATAAGAAAGAAATGGGACCCAGAGACATGGACAAGATCAGCTCTTGGCTGTGAACAGCCTCCTAGGGCTGTTCCTTCTTCCACATGGGGGAGGTACCCAGAAAGGTATCCACACTTACTCCCCTTGGCTGACTTTGCCAAGTCTTCTTTCTTAGCAGTTCCTTGTGTGGGTGATTGCCCGGACCCTGACTTCTCATCTTTCTTGACCACTTCCTGTGGAGGATAGGAGAAGAGAGTTAAAAAGTCCTGCCTCCCAGAAGGATAGGTATAGGAAGGCTCTAACCTGAGAAGGCCTTTCAAAGACCATTTGACCCCCCCCCCTTCTACCCACTCTGTACACCACAGAAGCTCCTCCCAGTCCATCCACTGCCAGGCTTTCTCATTCCACACACCTACCCCCGCCTTCTCCTTTTTCTTGCCCAGGCCCTTAGGCGTTTTCGCTGCCTGTGTCTTCTCTGACTTGTCCACCAGTGCAACATTGCTGATACCCGACATCTGAGGCTTCTCGCGGGAGTCCCCATGTCTAGAGGAGGAGGGCTGTGCTCACAGACAGGAGAGGGTGGAGGAAACTGTTAAAGCCCTTTATCAGTCAGGAGATGGAGAGAAGCCTATGCCTGGGTAGCAGCTGGGTTGGCAGCACCCATCTCCCTATCTAAATGCCTACTCTGTGGAAGAGCTGTTGGCAAGAAATAGAAGTATAAAGGAAAGCCCTGAGTGGCTCGCTCTCCTATTGAAGGAAACTACAACTAGTTTCATTATATTTGTTGCGATGCTGGGGATTAAAAATGCCCTGCAAGCACTCTACCACTGAGCTAGAGGGGGTGGGGGTGGGGGGTGGCAGAGACAGACAGAGACAGAGCGCAAGCATGTGCACATGAGCAAGCACACTAGTACTGGGGCTCGAATTCAGGACCTCACCTCTAAACAGGCTCACAGCAGGTACTCTACCACCTGAGCTACACCTCAAAGTACAGCTTTTTTTTTTTTTCTGGTTAACTGGCAGTAAGACTCGCAAGATTTGTCTGCCTGGACTGGCTTCAAATGTTGATCCTCACATCTCAGTCTCCCAAAGTAGCTAGGGTTGTCGGCGTGAGCCACTGGAACCTAGCTGAGCCCTTGGTTTCTTTGGAGACGTCTCACCTTGTTGCCCAGACTGACCTCCAAGTTTTGAACCTCCTACTTCTGCCACCTGGGATTACAGTGTGTGTCGGTTTGTCACCAGCCGGGGTGGCTCTGCAAACTGGAGCGCCCCCCACACACACACCCCCAGCAGGGGCTTGGGGAACGTTAGGTAAAAGTGTACAGAAGTCAGTCGGACAGGGGTGGGCAGGGAGATTGGAGGTCCCGCGAGGCCGGCATGCCGAAAAGCAGTGGACCTGAACAGCAGGCTCTATCTCGGCTGTCCTGGGACCAGGTTGCGGCTCACCGATCGCGACCGCTCCTGCGATCCTTTCTCCAGCAGGAGGCGCCGGCGCTCCACCACCTCTGTGTGCGTGAGCTCAAAGGGACGCAGGACCTGGGGCGTGGCCGGCATCCGACCATCAGACGCCCGGAGGCCGGTGGGGGGCACACAGGCGGCTCCCCGGCCCCATCCGGCCAGCACACTCACCTCCGCGAGCTTCAGGGCGCCCTTGTCCTGAATGCGGTTGTGCGCCAGGGACAGCCAGAGCAGCGAGCGGTTCAGCCTCAGGCCCTGCGCCCAGGAGGAGGACGGGCGCGTGAGCGCGCGGAGGCCCGGCCCTGTGCCCGGATCCCCTGCCCAGCCCCTCCCCGGCGGGCTCGGCCCGCACGGTACACGCACGTCCGCAATGTAACCCGCGCCCTCGTCACCGATGTGGTTGAAGCCCAGGTTCAGCGACACCAGGGTACGGTTGCAGCTGTGCAGCGTGGACAGCGCCTGGCCCAGGAGCTGCGCCCCGTGGTCGTCGATGTTGTTGTTTCGCAGAGACAAATGCATGATCCTGGAACAGCGGGAGAAGGGGGTGGGGGAGAGTCAATCACGGAAGAACAGAACTACTGGACATTCACGGAAAGCAGGGATACCAGGGGACATGAACGAGGCAGCCCAGTCTGAAGGGGAGACAGAATAGGAGGACCCCTGGGGAAAGGCTAAAGGAACTACAAATGGCTTGGAAGAGAGCCACAGGCCCAAAGAAGGGGAAACAAGCGCAATGAGTCTTACGTGCTGTCTGCTGCCATGAGCTTGTGATAGGGTTGCTCCGGAATTGGGTTCCCCTCCAGAGACACCTTCCTGAGGGTGGGAAGGAAGCTGAGAACTAGGTACCACTGAGGTCAGGCAAGGGAGGGTTTGGAGGAGGAAGTGTGGCAGGCAACAGAATCAAAAGTTCACAAGTGAGACGACATGAACAGGCCACCTCCCAAAGCTGACCTGTAGTGAGCTGATTCCCTACCAACAAGACACAGTTCCTGTGTAATCCTTTCCCTTGCACGTGGCTCCATCCAGTGACTCACTTCTTACCAACAGCATAGGGTAATGTGATGAGAGGACTGCGACTCCACACCTGTAATCCTAGCTACCCAGGAGGCTGAGATATGAGGATGGTGCCAGCCTGGGCAGGAAAGCCTCTAAGACTCTTTCCCAATTAACCAATAAAAAGCTGGAAGTGGAGCAATGGCTCAAATGGTAAGAGTACAAGCGTTGAGCAGAAAAGCTCAAGGACAATGCCAACGCCCTGAGTTCAAACCCGCAGGACCTGCACACACACACACACACACACACACACACACACACACAGACTTGGCTTTTATCTTTTCCTATCATGAAGACCACAGCCTATGAAGAGGTGCAAACCTGGAAGCAGGTTCTCAGTCCTCTGTCATCTTAAGATGACCACAGTCCCAACCAAGAGCTTTACTGCAACCTCCAGACAGATCCTGAGACAGATCATCATTCCAGGTTACAACAAGAAGTGAACCAATGGTTCAGAAATTTCTCAAACTAAATCTTTTCTCCCACGATGTATACGTTTTTGGTCAGCCTTCCAGGAAAGGTGAGGCTGCCTTTCTTTCACATAAAAATTCATTTTAAATTATCTTCATGCTGGTAAAAACTATTCTAACAAATTCATATCGTTCTTTTTCTATGAGCTACGTGGTTTCTAGTTCTCACAATGCAATGGAATGTGTTGTGTGGTATTCTACACAAGGAGTGCTGGCTACTCTGCCAAAGAAGACAGTCTCTACCCTTGGAGAGTGTCTATTCCATCCAACAAGTCCTATCTGCCAAGTAAGATCAAGGATGCTGAAGGAGCAGACAGCAGACAGGTGGGAGCTTGTGGACCATGCTTGTAATCCTAACTACTCAGGAGGCTGACATCTGAGAATCCAGGTTTGAAGCTAACCTGGCCAGAAACATCTGTGAAAGTCTTATCTTCACTTAACCACCAAAAAGTTGAAAGTGGAGCTGAGGCTCAATTGGTAGAACACTAGGCTTATGTGAAAAAGCTAAGGTCCAGCACTCAGGTCCTGAGTGCTAGTAATGGCATGGAAGAAAAGGCAGACAGCTCCTTTGGGGTCCTTTAGACTCCAAACTACAGCTGTTGTTAGCTACCTCACATCTGGTTCTTGCTCCCTGAGTCTAAGGCTCAGATCAGCACCACCTCCTCCAGGCAGCCTTCTAGGTCTTCCTGACCCAAACCTACAAAGTGAGTGAGTGCTCTCTTTGCCCCCATGTTCCCTTCCTCAGCTTCCACAGTGTGGGGACCCTACCCTGCAATATTTATTCCTAGGTTCTAATCTCCCCCTCTGCAAATTCCTGCTGAAATGGTGTCTTACCAGCTCCTGTAATGGACTAAGGGAGATGACCTCCAAGGAGAGAGTAATTGGTGGCAGACTGATAGAGAAGAGAGGTGATGGGGTTCATCACCTCTCTTCTCTATCAGTCTGCCACCAATTACTCCTGAGCCAACAGGATGGATGTTGTATAGATTGAAATGGGATGGCTTCTCGGGGTAGAAGCTACCTCATCCAGCAGACGCTGGCTGAACCATCAAACTCACCATTTCCCCTAACCACCCAGCCAGGTTGCCCAGGCCTCAGGGGCCACTTCCATCTGCTGACCTGAGTGTGGATGAACAGAGAGGTAGGATGGCGATGAAGGTGGCCAGGGTCTTATCAGTGAGACCCACCTTCCACAAGCTGGATTTGGAGGAAGCACAGAACAGCTGGAGGTCAGCTCCTAGAAATCCCATTCCACAGTTCTCCCAGCCAGGCCCCCTACCATTCTCCAACCCCCTCAATCTTCAGTGCCCCTTCCGCTCTCTCCCACGTAACCAGGAGCCCAAGCTTCCACACTGGCCTTCTACCCCTCCATCCGTGCTCTCTCACTAGATGGCCTGTAGCTGGCTGAGAGCAGGCAGGCATTTGGAGAAGATGCCCAGCATCCGGTCATCAACCTTCCAGCCTGCTAGGAGACAAAGAAGATGCCTCAGCTGCTACTAAGGGCTGGGGCAGCTGGGGAGGGACAGTGGCCCTCACCGCGAATGTAGATCTCCTTCACTAGCTTGTTGTCCTCCTGCTCCAGCTCTACCTGGATGGTGGGCCGAAAGAATACGTATTTGCTCTCCATGCTGTTGATGCTACAGGATGCCGACAGCCGCTGCTCATCTACAGGCAGGAGTGGAGTGAGAGAGGACAGAGATGGCCAGTTAGGCCCCGAACCCCCTCAGCCTGTGGGTTTGGAGGTCCCACAGGACTGGAGCACACAGTGGAGAGGAAAGCAGGAGATCCTCCTGTCCTCATCTGTGCTTTAGAAACATTCTGCCTCTAATGGTAGAGCACTAGCCTTGAGCTGAAGAGCTGAGGGACAGCGCCCAGGCCCAGAGTTCAGGCTCCACACTGGCACACACACACACACACACACACACACAGACAAAGAAAGAAACATTCTGCCCTACACACTCCTACCTTGCATCCTGGTCATTCATCCCTGCCCACCGTGCATGCAGGGGAGGTTAGGGGTGGAAAGTGGCCCTGCCAGACACCCAGAGTCTCCCCTGTCACTCACCTGGGTTAGGCTTTTCTGACAAAGAAGCCGATGGAACGAAGGCCTGGTGGGGACGGGGCCGGACGACAACTTTGGGGAACTCGGTATAGCCTGATCTGGTGCAGAGCTCGGCGAAGTCCGTCTCCAGGACCCCGGTGCACTGGTACTCCTCTGCGGCGCGCACGAGGGTGAGCGAGTGTCGTCCGCTGCCGCTAGGGGGCAGCAGAGCCCGAGACGCCCCCGTTCCCATGCCAACCCCCAGTCACCACAGCGCAGGGAAGAAACTGCTTTGCAAAAACGCTAGCCAGGCGCTGGTGGCTCATGCCTATAATCCCAGCTACTCAAGTGGCTGAGATCTGAGGGTCGAGGTTCAAAGCCAGCCTGGGCAGAAACTCTGTGAGACTCATCTCCAACTAACTACCAAAATGATAGGAGTAGAACTGTGGCTCAAGTGGTAGAATGCCAACCTTGGGCAAAAAAAAAAAAGAAAAAAACCTAAGAGACTATACCCAGGCCCTGAGCTTAAGGCCCAGTACCACCACAGAATAAAACAAGCTGTTTTAGAGACTTTAGAAGTCTGGAGGAAAGTGTTAGAACATTGCATAGCAAGGGGCCTGAGGCCCTGAGTTCAAAGCCTGGTACTACAAATAAGAGGTTGCTCCTCTGCTCTCCCTCACTCCTTTCTAACAGCCTCGACGCAAAGCTTCTTGAGAAACAAGCCATCACACTTCCACACCTTCTCCTCTCAGCCTCACATCTGAGCCCCACACCTGCTAGAGCACAATGACACCTATTAAAGCCACAGTGACCTCCACCTTGCTCTATCCAGGATCTCTATGCAGCTATCACTAGAATTCTCCCCTACCTTTCTTCCAAATCACTGGAGCTCCCCAGCCACAGAATTCTCTACAACCTGAGCCCTCAGCCCTCTACTTAGGGATCTCTGTCATGCCATGCCAGAACATTAGCAGCTCCCAAAGCCACGTCTCTCCTCACTTCAGTACTTCAGCTGCCCCGCTGACATCACCCCCTGGAGGCCTGAGATTCATGCTGCTCTTGCCAGTTTTCCCATCCCCACCCACCCAGCATCCAGGCCAGAAATGAGGAATTATTGTTTCTTACTCCCCACCCTATTCAATCTTTGACCAATTTGTCCACCTCCCAGGCTGCCTAACCTACTACCCCTATGCGCCCATATTTCACCACTATGAATGAACCCTGCCAGATCACATTTACTGTTAAAATAGTCATGTAGCTCATCTCCCTGCCCTCTCCTCACACCCCTTTCCATACAGTAAATATAATATCATTTCTCTTTTCTTCCCTGATGTGGCGGGGAGGGGTTGTGTACCAGGGCTTGAACTCAGGGCTTTGAGCTCTCACTCAGCTTTTTTTTGCTTATGGCTGTCTCTACCATGCCTCCACTTCAAGCTCTTTATTGGTTAATTGGAAATAAGAATCTCTTGGATTTATCTGCCCAGGCTGGCTCCAAATCTGGATCCTCAGATATCAGCCTCCTAAGTAGCTAGGGATTACAGTGTGCTCTGGGCACTTGCCTTCCATTTTCTTTTCTTAAGATAGGATGATTCTAGGTAGCCCAGACTGGCCTTGAACTTGAGATTCTCCTGTGAAGACTTCTGAGTGTTGGGATTACTGATATGTATTAGCACACCCTAGAATGCAGCACATTTTATTCTCTCTACTCTTCCTTCTGGATGATGGTTTTTCTTCAACTATCATACTACCCCTACTCCCATCCAATATTTTAAGGAAGATGGCACCTGGCAAAGGTAGACAATTGGTGTCTTTTCCCAAGTTATCTCCATTCCAGGGACAGCAATTTCCTGGTCCTCTCTGATGGCAAAGCTGTCAAGTTTGGATCAAGAAACCATCCCACAAATTCCCCCTTGATGGTTATTAACTACTTCTGGCTGGGGGTCTAACATTTGCAACAGAAAGAGCCCTTACTTAAATGAGGGAGGGGCGGGGGGGGGGAACCATACTAGAGTTTGAGTTCAGAGTGCAGGAGTGGTGGTTGGGCCCAGGCTGCACGGATGCTGGATCCCTCAACCCCGGCCTCCAAGCCCAGCCTACCAGGATTTTTGGACTCCTCCTCCCCTACTGGCTGCAGGACGGGCCCTGGCTTTTCCTTGGCGGCGCGCTCCCCCTTCTTGGTCGCCGATCCAGATGACTTCTGTGTCCCCGGACGTGGGGCCCGGGGTGAGGTCCCCAGCGTGCTCGGCTCGCTGGACATGCTGATGGCTCTGGGACCTTCGCGGGGTCAGCAAAGCCTGACAGCACCTTGTAGCTCACCCTGAAGATCAGGATCACCCTGGCTGCAGAGCAGGGGTGTCTCTTTTCCGTCTGGACCTACGGGTTTGACCAGCCTACAACAGCCAGGCCTACGCGTCCCTCTCCTAGACAACCGCGCCTGGGTGGGTGCGGGCCAGGGACAGAGGCAACCGCTGCGCTCGAGCGGAGCTGGCAGTGGCGCTGCAGGCTGCAGGGTCGGAACTCGTGGGCTAAAGGCAGGTGGGTGGAGCCAGCCGGACCAGAGGGGCGGGGCTAGAGAAGGAAGGGCGGGGCCAGAGTAATCCGAGACTGCAGGTAAACCCTGAAAAACCAGCACTGGCCGGGCGGGCGCTGATGGCCCACGTCTGTAATCCTATTCAGGAGGCTGAGATCTCAGGATCGAGGTTCAAAGCCAGCCCGAGAAAGTCCGTGAGACTCTTATCTTCAATTAAATACCAGAAAACCGGAAGTGGGGCTGTGGCTCGAAAAGGTAGAGCACTAGCCTTGAGCAAAAGAGCTTGTAATAACCAGCGGCGCCCCAATAATCAGCGTGGCCCCGTGGCCCGGCCCGCTGGAGGGGGCGGGCATCAAGGGGGGCGCCTCACCGCTCCGCGGACGGGCCAGCGGAAGGGGCGGGGCATAGGCTGAAGTCACCGCCCACGGAGTGTGCTGCCGGAGGGGCGTGCCCTGCCGCTGAAGGGGCGGGGCTGCCGCCGAAAGGAGGCGGGGCGCAGCCTCTATAGGCTGTTCAGAGTCCTGAGGAGAGTAGGGGAAAGACTGGGAGTTCTTCCAAATGGATCAAAGACCTCGGAGTCAAAGCAGACACTCTGAAAACATTACAGGATGGAATAGGAGAAACCCTAGGTCTCCTTGGCTCAGGCCGAAATTTTCTGAATAGAGACCCAGAAACACAACAAATCAAAGAAAGGTTGGACAAATGGGACTGCATGAAGCTTCAGAGCTTCTGCATGGCAAAGGACATAGCTAGCAAGATCAATAGAAAGCCCACAGATTGGGAGAACATCTTCACTAGCCATACAACAGAAAAGGGTCTCATATCTAAAATATACCTGGAACTCAAAAAATTAAATCCCCCAACAACAAATCTTCAAAGAAACAACTGCCCAATAAATAAGTGGGCTAAAGACTTAAAGAGAAACTTCACTGAAGAGGAAAGAATGAAGGCCAATAGACACATGAAGAAATGCTCAACCTCCCTAGCCATAAAAGAAATGCAAATCAAAACAACATTGAGATACCACCTCACCCCAGTTAGAATGGCTAAAATCAAGAACTCTGATAACAACAGATGCTGGAGGGAATGTGGACAGAAGGGAACCTTACTGCATTGTTGGTGGGCGTGTAAACTGACTCCACATAGAACTCCCCTATGACCCAGCAATCCCACTTTTGGGCATTTACCCAAATGTTCACAAACAAGACCACACTAAAGCTACCAGCATGACTATGTTTATTGCAGCCTTATTTACCATAGCTAAGATATGGAACCAACCCAGATGCCCTTCAGTAGATGAATGGATCAAGAAAATGGTATATGGGGCTGGGAAGGTGGCTCAGTGGTAGAGCACTTGCCTTGCATGCATGAGGCCCTGGGTTTGATTCCCCAGCACCACATAAGCAGAAAGAAAAAAAGCCCGAAGTGGCTCTGTGGCTCAAGTGGTAGAGCACTAGCCTTGAGCTGAAGAGTTGAGGGACAGTGCCCAGGCGCAGAGTTCAGGCCCCACGACTGGACCCAAAAAAAAAAAATGTGGTATATATACACAATGGAATTCTATCCCTCCATCAGAAAGAATGCCATTGCCCCATTTGTTAGGAAATGGAAAGATTTGGAAAAAATTATATTAAGTGAAGTAAGCCAGGCCCAAAGAAACCATAGGTCCCATGGTTTCCCTTATTTGCAATAACTAGTATATATCTGAGTCAAGCAGAAAAGGTCAGTTAAGTTGATGTTAGGGAAATGAACCCTAAGATATGTATTCAAATTTTTTTCTTTCATGTGATTGTTTCTAACACATTTATAAGATTCTTTGTTACTTTGTATGTCCCTCCCCCACAGTATAATCCCTGCTTTCACTGTATTTGATGTTGTTATAATTTGTGGAGGGGAAGGGAAAAAACAAATCGTTTAAATAGGGACACAGATGGACCCATTGCAACAATGAGATGTACAAGTCGTTATGTCGAAAACGAACTTTACAACTTTGGTAGGGGGGAGGGTGGGGGGGTTGGGGGGAGGAGGGAGGGGCTGGGGGGGGGGATGGGATGGGAAGGGGAAACAAAGGAGAAGGCTACAATGCTTGATAAGAAATGTACTCATTATCTTGCCCATGTAATTGTAACCCCTCTGTACAGTATCTTCACAATTAAAAAAAAAAAAAAGACTGGGAGTTCTGAGGAGAATAGCAGGGAGAGAGCAACGTCTGCCGTAGTAGAGCAGGGCAGGCCCGAGGAGGCCATTTGGGGCTTCTCAAGGAAGTCATTTGGGGCCTCCTCAAGAAGCCATTTGGGACCTTCCTCTAGTGAGGCCTGTGGAGAGGCACCTCCCGCAGCAGAGCAGGGCAGGCCGGGGGAGAGGGGAGAGGCCTGCAGAGAGGAGGAAGGAAAGAAAAGGAAAAGCCTTCCCCTTTGGAGCTTTGGAGCTTTGGATGTCTGAGGCTTGGAGGTTTGCAGACCGACTAATCAGGGTTTGCAGACCAACTAATAAAGGTCCGGGCTGCCCATTGGAGGCTTACTGGTTTGGTGGTTGAGGCTGCCCTTGGTTCTGGGTATGTAGCCCAGGACAAGGTAGTCGCAGGACCCCTTTCCGGTGTAAACAGTGTAAACGTTTTTTGTCATCTTTAACCGTGCCTCGATGGATTGTCTCACTCTTCTGACGTCATAAGTAGAGAGAGCGCCCAGGCCCCAAGATCAACCCCATCCTGACTGACAAAAGAAAAAAAAAAAGAAAACCAGGCCTGGCTGGGGTCTAGTGAGGGCCTAGACACCCTAAGACCTAAGTGGACCATAGTGGAGGGAAATGAGCAGTAACCTAGTAACCCCAAGAAGTGTGTGTGTGTGTGTGTGTGTGTGTGTGTGTGACAATGGGGGACAAAAAATTGGGGGTGTGGGTTAAGAATCCTGGCAGCCAGCCAGGCCTCATGGGTGTGATGCTGGGTTTCCTTTCTTGTTTGTTTGTTTATTCAGGACTTGAATTCAAGGCCTACATGCTGTCTCTGAGCTCTTTCGCACAAGGCTAGTGTTCTACCACTTTGAGACATAGTCTACTTCCAGTTTCTGAGGGTAAATTAGAGATAAGTCTGACAGACTTTCTTGCCTAGGATGGCTTTGAATCCATGATCCTCAGATCTCGGCTTCCTGAGCAGCTAGGATTACAGGCATGAGCCACCAGTGCCTGCCAATGCTGGATTTCTTAACTCCAACTGTTTAGCTTCCTGGCGGTCTGGAGACTGTCCACTGTTGAGTTGATGAGATCACATCCTTACAAACCTTGTTGGGGTGCTATTCTAAGCCCAGCTGAGCTCCTTTAGTGTACCTCTCTCCTCTTTCCTGAGGCTTCCAGCCTCTGCACTCAGTTCCATCCATCACCACCCCAGCACCCTCTGCCTGTGTGTGCTGCCCACAGAAAAAACCACCTTTGAGTGTCTGTTCACATTCAGAGCACACAATTGGCCCTTCTGTCTTGGCACTTACCCCAGAGTCAATGGTGCATTAATTCACTCAGCCACTCAACCTTTTGGGGATCATTTATTGAATGCCTACCATGTGCCCAGGGGAATACATAGTGAGCATAATAAACTTGAGTCCAAGGCTGAGGCACCAGTGGCTCACGCCTGTAATCCTATCTTCTCAGGAGGCTGAGATCTGAGGATCATGGTTCAAAGCCAGCCTGATCAGGAAAGTTAGAGAGATTCTTATCACCAATTAACCAGAAAGCCAGAAGTGGAGCTGTGGCTCAGGTAAGTGGTAGAGACTAGCCTTGAGCAGAAAAGCTCAGGGACAATGCCCAGGCCCTGAGTTCAAGCCCCAGGACCAGCACAAAAATAATAAACATGAGTTCTGCCTTCGTGGAGCTTAGTCTAGTAAGGAGGCAAATATTAATTGAATAACGTGTCAGGAAATAACACACTAGAGTAGAATCTGATAACCAGTGGGCCTTCTGCAGGTACATCAAAAATGAACGGTGCTGCCACTGATGCTAAACAGGAAAGATGCTAAACAGTGGAGTGCTGAGGAGCTTGAGGAACAAGCAAGAGTCAGCCAGTGATAGGAAGGACAAGCCCTGCAGATGTGCAAGTCCCTGGGATAAGAAGAAGAGTAGCAGATAGGCTGAGTCCTGGCGGCTCATGCTTGTAAGCCTAGCTACTCTGGAGGCTGAGATCTGAGGATTCAGATTTGAAGATAGCTTCTTATCTCCAATTAATCACCACAAAGCTGAAAGTTGTGCTGTGGCTCCAGTGGTAGTGTTCTAAAGCTGAGTGACAAAGCTAAAGGAGAATGCCTAGGCCCTCAGTTCAAGCCCTGGTACCAGCACAAAAAAAGAAAAAAGAAGAAGGAAGGAAGAAGAATGCAGAAAGAAGAGGAAGAGGAAGAAGAAGAAGAAGAAGGAGGAGGAGGAGGAGGAGAAGGAGGAGGAGGAGGAGGAGGAAGAGGAGTAACAAATAGCAGTAATAGCAGCAGCAACTGGATGCCAGTGTGACTGGAGCAGAGTGACAGGAGACACAATCTAAGCTGAAGATGAGGCCCAGATGAGCTAGGTAGCCAAGCATTTGAGAACTTTGAACGTTTTGACTGGCCCAGGGGCATTGGTACACACAGGAAGACATGAAGACTTGAGGGAACAGCCCAAGTCCCCTGTATTCTGAGAAGCAGCAGCAGCAGGACTTATTAAGGGAATACCAGGGGCCAGTGAGGGGCTTACTGCCACAGCCAATTCCTGGCTAAATGCTGTGTGCCTGAGGGCAGGACCTGTGCCTAGTAACCCTCTGAAACCAGATATACACATGCGCATGCACAGAGCCCAGCCTGGCGTGCACATAAAAGGTACCCAATATACAATTCAGAAATATCAGTCTGAAATCAGAGTTGTTCAACACACCAGCTTATGCACATAGGACCCGGAGGGGCCCCCAGAGAGCAGTGGGTTCCGGAAAGGGATCCAAGCACGCTACAACCAGTGTCTTCCCTTGTGGAATCTGGGAGACAGGATCCCTTCTCTCCATTCACTTTCTTCATTAATATGTTCATGTTCATAGCCTTCAGTCCACTCCCTGCTCCTGGCAGGGTACCCAAGGCTCTGTCCTCAGCCTTGGCAGCAAGGGTCAGGTGGGCTGGCCTCTGCCATACCATCCTGGCTTCTCAACGGTCCTGGAGCTGACGTGGGGGTGATGGAGGATGCCGTACTGGAGGCAAGTCATAGTGTGCAGGGATATGGCTGTTCTTGGGTGAGTCGTAGTGGCCAGGGGGGAGGCCTGGAGGAAGCGGGGGCTGGGAGCCCAGAGAATCTTGATCTGGAGACAGAGGGGGACAGGATGAGAAGGAACTTCCTCACTCTCCAACCTCCCACTGCCCCTCCCCATCAGGCCTCTTCTGCCTGGAGATGGTGGGTTTCTGGCCGCCTGGCTGTGTAGCTCTGAACAGAAGCCTTGGCTCCGAGTAGCCAGGGGGGAGAGGCCTCCTCGGCCAGCCCACCTCACCCAAGGTATTTGGACACTGTCATCTGATTCACTTCTCACTTCTCTGGGCACCACCTTCACCATCCCAACTCCTCAGCACTAAAGGTAGGCATCCCACTCTGCAGGGCAGAGTAGAAACAGGTTCTACTGGGCAAGGTGACTTCACCACATCTCACCCCCAAAGGCCTTGTTCTTGCCCCCACATCATGCCCCTCTATCCCTTTCCTCTTCCCACCTCCCTCAGCCCAGGGGCAATAGAGCGCTCACCATGGGTCAGGGGGCTGGGCTGCTCATAGGTGCCACTGTCTCTCTGTTGCCGCCTCAGGCTGTCTGGGAGCTGAAGAGGCTGCCTGGGGGGAGATCCTGAGGGAGGGCCCTTCATCTCCACATAGCTGCTCTCCCGGAGGCCCGCTGGCAGGCTGGGCAGGTCCCGGATGGTGGCATAGGGGTTCTCACTGCTCAGAGAAGCCATGCTGGCCCCCAGCCCTTCTTTAGAAGCAGGCCCTAAGGATTGAAGAAGGAAGTTAGATTTAGTGGAGACACTGGCTTCTTTACCCAGCTCAGTCCCTCTGCCCATACCTTTATTACAGAATGGGCCTGGACCATTACTATGGCTGTAGCTATAGCTGCGGTCTGGGAGGCTGCCACCTGAGGAGGGAAAGGCAACTCATAGACTGTGGTCCCCTCTGGAGTCCAGCCTCCTCTGGAACAGAGTCTGAGCCCTTTCACCCTCCCCTGCACACACTGGGATGGAGCAGCAGGCTGGGCTGAAAACACCCGCCTTCTCCCAAGATCTTGGCCTCCAGGCACCTACCCCTGTCCAGAGGCCCAGGAGGGGGCTCCCGGCGGTGCTTCCGGTCAGCAGGCAGAGTGGCAAGGTTGTCATGTCCATGGGCTCCACTGGCAAAGAGCTGGCTGCCTGGAACCTAAGGGGGACAGTGCCACAGAGAGAGCACACACAAGGAAAGGGCTTCCCAGAGAACCAGATCTGTGCCCAACCCTCTGCAGTGCATCCCCTCCCCAGCACTGACCTTGTTAGGGGGTGGGGGGTTGGGAGAACACTGAGACAGAGTGTGGTAGCTGGGGTTGGAGTAGTAGTGACTGTAGCTTGGAGGGACATCTGTAGGACAGACATAGGCACAAGGCAGCTTAGAAACATGCTGCCTTATGTAATCCTAGCTTCTTAGGACGCAGAGATCTGAGGATCATGGTTTGAAGCCAACCTGGTCAGGAAAGTTTGTGAGACTTGTCTCTGGATAACCAGCAAAGATCCAGAAGTGGAGCCGTGGCTCTAAGTGGTAGAACACCAGACTTAAGCAAAAGAACTCAGGAACGGCACTCACCCTGAGTTCACACGCCCTGGCACCACAAAGGGGAGGGGAGGGAAGGGGAGGGAAAGAGGGGAGGGGAAGAAAGGGGAGGGGGAAGGAAGGGGGAAGGGAGGGAGGGGCTGGGAAGGTAGCTCAGTGGTAGAGTGCTTTCCTTGCATGCATGAGGCCCTGGGTTCGATTCCTCAGCACCACATAAGCAGAAAAAAAGCCGGAAGAGGTGCTGTGGCTCAAATGGTAGAGTGCTAACCTTGAACTGAAGAGCTGAGGGACAGCGCCCAGGCCTAGAGTTCAGGCCCCATGACTGACAAGAAAGGAAGGAAGGAAGGAAAAAGAAAAGATATGGGCTAGGGCCCCTGTGACAGTTGCTCTGTCCAGGGGATCCGTATTTCAGTCTTCCTGACCTTCTTTTCCCAGCTTCCTCCCAGCTTCCCACCTACCCCTGTAGTTAGGCCAAGCAACCCACTGCCCACCACTCATTGGTGCCTCGTGACTCCATGCCAGCTCACCTGGCATGACATATTCAGAGCCATCTAGCCGTCCAGTGCTGTACGCCACGGCCAAATGTTGATGCTCCTTGCCCTTTTGCCATTGGCGGTAACCAATAAACAATGCTACCAGGGCCACCACAAGGGACCCCAGCACTGCAATGCCAATCACTGCTCCCAGCGAGTTATAGGCCACTGGAGATGTGGGCATCATGGTGAAGGGCTCCAGGCTTCCTGTGTAAGATGGGGTAGGGATTCAGCATGGCATTTTGGCTCTGTTGATGAGCTTGGGTGCATGCATCCGAGAAGCATCCAGTAGGGAGGCAGGAATGACATGAAAGGACTGGGTCCTAGACACATTGTGGGTGGAAGGGCCTAAGGACTCACCAATCCTGCAGGGTGCACCACTGTGCCCTGGGGGGCACACACAGGCTCCTGTCTCTGGGTGGCACTTCTCTCCAGGACCACACTGGCAGGATTGCGAACAGTTGGCACCAAACATCCCCAATGGACATCCTGGGGAGACAGTCAAGGAGACAAGAGGAGAACACATGGACCAAAAAGCTATAGTCTCCTCTTGAGCCATGGCTGAGGGCACAAGCATGGAGTTCCCCTCCGGTGGGTACCTTCCATGCAGTGGGGTCCTGTCCAGCCCGGAGTGCAGACACAGCTCCCATCCTGGGGGCGGCAGGCCCCACCATGGTGACACTGGCAGATCTGGGCACATTTGGCTCCCCAGTGGCCTGAAGGGCATTCTACAGGAGACAAGAGGTCTGTCACACAGGGCAGGACCATTTCTTCCTGGGTGAACTCCCAGTTCTCAGCATCACTGAAATTTTTGTTGTGGTTTTGGTTTTGTTGGTCGTGGGGCTTGAACTCTGGGCTTGGGCGCGATCCCTGAGCTCTTCAGCTCAAGGCAAGTGCTCTACCACTTGAGCCACAGCACCACTTCCAGTTTTCTAGTGGTTAATTGGAGATAAGAGTCTCATGGACTTTTCTTCCCCGGGTTGGCTTAGAACCGTGATCCTCAGATCTCAGGCTCTTCAGTAGCCAGTATTACAGGTGTGAGCCACTGGTGCCCAGCTATCACTGAAGTTTTTAGTCAGCCTTGTCTCTGGCGGGACACTGGGAGGGGCTTTGAACAGTATCTACACACCAAGGACTCACAAAGGCTTGTCTGGAGCCCTGTGTCTCCACTCAGCTCCAGACCCACATGCCCATTTTCCCCTTAACACTTGCACTTGGCCATATCAAAATATCTAAAAGCCTTCTAAAGTACCCTGGATTGCTTAGCTCTTGCTTTGTTTTTTAAACATAAGAGACATAACATCCATGCTACTCGATGCAATTTTTTTTGAGACAAGATCTCAAGCTGGCAATCCTGCAAACCTTTGCAAAGCCAAACTTGCAATCCTCCAGCCTCAGTCTCCCAAGTGCTAGGTTTACAGGTATATGCAACCATGCCTGGCTCTTTGAGGTAATCTTTTCCATGATCTTCATGCATTTAAATGTATATACATGATCTTTGTGTATTTGCATTTAAATGAACAAAGAGAAATTGAAAATGTTATACACACGCATATATGTATGTATGTATGTATGTATCCAAAGTAGAGCTTAGGATAAACTCCCATAAAAAAATGTTGCTTTTTCAGGTTTCCCCTGCCAAAGGGCATGGAATTCTTCTCTGTTAATTGCTGCATCCTCAGCACCTAGAACTAGTACCCCAAGTGCAGACGATATCCAATATAGTTTCTATTGCTCACACAGGAGAGTCCACACCCTTTATTCTAAGGAGCCATCCCCTGCTCCGCCCAGGCTCTCAGCACACTCTGGCACTCAAGCAACCACGCACGTTGGGAGCAGTCAGGGCCTATCCAGCCGGCCAGGCAATAACAGGTCCCATTCGATGGGTGGCAGGAGGAGTGGTTGTTGCATCTGCAGGGTATACAGCGTTTTCCATAGCGGCCAGGCTGGCAGGCTGGGGAAGAAGGTACATGTGAATGAGGCAGGGGCCCAATTGGCCTTTGGACCCACCATCTCCATCCCTTTTTCCCACATACTAACTGTCCTGGAAATGAAACTCAGAAGGAGAGATCAAGACAGGGAGAGGGGACCTTCTGGCACCTGACACTGCACTGTGCCCTGTGGGGCAGGAGGAATATGGGGAGGGGAAAGGAAGCCTCACATCTCTGGCAGGAAGGGCCTCGGAAGCCAGGTACACACACGCAGTTGCCATTTTCAGGGATGCAGGTACCCCCATTCTTGCAGGTACAGGTGTTGCTGCAGTTGGCTCCCCAGAATCCCTCAGGGCAGGGCAGGTGGCAGCGGGTGCCTGGGGAGAAAAGCATAGGATGAGCCTGGTCTGGGCCCCTCTGGTTTCCCAAGGGCTCTTTCTGACCCAGCTCCCACTCCACAGTAGGCCTAGGACTGGAACACTTTGATTGCTCACCCATCCAGCCAGCCTGGCATTGGCAATGTCCATGAATAGGTTCGCAGCTGTCAGCATGCTCACAGTCACAGTGACTGGCACAATCTTTGCCGAACTGTCCCTTCTTGGGGTGGGAATGGAGAGTAAGGAGGAGCAGTCAGCTGGGGATGCCATGTCCTCTTCCTCCCTCAGACAAACAGGCTGTGAGCACGTACCGGACAGGGTAACTGGCAGTAGGCACCATGCCACCCAGGAGTACAAGAACACGCTCCAGTTTGGGGACTACAGATTCCCTCATTGGCACACTGGCAGCTGGCATTGCAACCGAAGCCCCAGGTTCCAGGTGGGCAGGGCACAGAGCAGTTACCACGCTGCCAACCTGAAGGGAAGAGCCTGTAAGTAGGCATGGGGTCCTGTTCCCCTCCTGGGCAAGCCCACACAGGGTAGTGACTATGCCAGGCTCTCTGCTATGAGAGGAGTGCAAGCGGATGCTCACTGTACCATACAAAAGATTGGCATATGAGCTATTAGATGCTGACCAGAAGGCTAGAAGAGCTGGATACCAGTAGCTCACACCTATAATCCTAGCTATTCAGGAGGCTCAGATCTGAGAAGCACAGTTTAAAGCCAGCCCAGGCAGAAAAGTTTGTGAGATTCTTATCTCCAATTAACTAGCCAAAAAAGGAAGTGGAGCTGTGGCTCAAGTGGTAAAGCACCAGCTTTGAATGAAAACACTAAGTGAGAATGTGAGGCCCTGAATTCAAGCACCAGTACTCGTGTGCGTGCATGCACGTGTGCACCCCCCCCACACACACACAAAGGCTAAATGCTTTTCAGTGATATACCCCCACCATAGGTCTCCATTATTTCTTCTGTAAAATGAAAGAGGTTGGCAAAACACCCAAATATTTACCGTGGCCAGATCAAATAAACCCAGGTCAGAGGTCAAACAATAGGGAATACTGAAGATTGACAACTTGGTGTTTGTTAAAATTTATAGAGCTAACCAAACAAAACACATCTGTACCAGAATTCAGCCTTGAGGTTGACAAATTGCCACCCTCTGGTAGACCCTTTGAAGGCTTTACTGGCACTGCCATTGGGTTTCTGTCGGGGGGGGGGGGGGGGGGGGGGGGAGTGAGATGTTATTAAGGAGGTGCATGGTGGACTATGCCTTTAAGAACAAGTACGATGCGCGTGTGTGTGTGTGTGTGTGTGTGTGTGTGTGTGTGCTTGAAGAAAAGCAAAGTGGATATTTCAGGAAGGAAATAGCCTGGATACTTTCCCACAGTCCAGCTGTCGCATAGTAAACTCTGCCTCCCCACACCCTGCAGCCTTTCCCTGGCGCTGGGCCCGCCCTCGCCCCGCGGCCCCGCCCCCGGCCGCCCCATCCCCTCACCTTCCTTGCAGACACACGTGCCGTCGATGGGCGAGCAGGCGATGGCATTTTCGCACGAGCAGCGGGCTGAGCAGTTGGCCCCGTAAGTGTCGGGGGGACAGAGGCTAGCGCAGTGAGGACCCTGAAGGCGGGAGGCAGGCTGGTGAGCGGGCCGCGGGGCAGGGCCGCGCGGCTCCCGGGCTGGCCCTCCCCGCCGGCCGCGGGGCACGCCTCACCGTGTAGCCGGGCGCGCACCGGCAGAGGCCGCTGTCGGCCAGGCAGACGCCGCCGTGCAGGCAGAGGCAGTGCTCCTGGCAGCCGGGCCCGTGCGTGTCCTGAGGGCAGCTCTCGTTGCAGTGGAGGCCGGCCCAGCCCGGCCGGCACGAGCACTCGCCGTGCATCGGGTGGCAGCTGTGGGCGAGGCGGGGCGCGGCGGAGCCTGAGCCGGGGACCCCTCTCTCCGCCGGACGGGAGCGAGCGGAGCCTCGGGATAAGGGAGCCGCGGGGGGGCGGGGGTAGAGCGGACTGGGACAAGGAGGCGCCCGGGCTGCGTGCTCCCCGCCGCGGAGCCCCTGCGCTCCCCGCTCGGTGACACCGGTGGCCCCTCGGACATCCTCCCGGGGCGCTCGGTGTGCGCCCGAGGCCTGCTCCCCCGGCCGCCTGCCGCCCACCTGAGGCTGTGCTCCGGGTCGCAGCTGCAGGCCGTCTGGCAGTTGAGGCCGTAGAGGCCGTCGGGGCAGAGGCGCTCGGTGCAGCGGTCTCCGGTGAAGCCGTGTTCGCACAGACACGCGCCATTGGCAGGGAAGCAGCGGGCGCCCAGGGCGCAGTCGCAGACCTCGGCACAGTCTTGCCCGAAGCGGCCCACCGGACACTCCTCACGGCATCTGGAGCGCGGTGAGGGGGTGAGCCTGCTTGCGCCTAACTCCTCCAGGGCTGCCCCTCTCCTCCTCCAGCCTCCCCGCCGCTGCACGGCTCACCTCTCCCCGGTGTAGCCCGGAGCGCAGTGGCACTGCCCGGAGAATCTGTCACAGAAGCCACCGTTGTGACAGTGACATTCCTGGGAACAGTTGGGTCCATAGAAGCCCTCTGGGCAGGGCAGGGAACAGATGGTGCCCTGTGGGGGTGAGAGGTCGACAGAGCCTCCAGCTAACTCCCTCCCCATGGCCACCAGACTCCGTGACACCCAGTTCAACCTAGACCCTACCCCATTAGGACACCCTCCCCTGAGTCCTGCTCAGAGCATCCCAAGAATTCTCCTTAGACTCCCATCCTGTACCCACACGCCCCATTCTTAATACCATCCAGCCCGGAGGGCAGCTGCAGGAGCCTTGGGAGGTCAGGAAGACACCTCCATTTTGACAAGGAGAGATGCTAGGGCAAAAGAAGCCATCAGTGCTGGGTAGACAGGTCACATCACAACTGCAGGAAAAGAAGGTGGGGTCAGGGTGTAAACAAGCAGTGCCTTCTGCCCCCTCTCTTTCCTCCAAGGACTGGCCACCAGCACACAGCTACCTTCATTCACACCTGCACACTGTGCTTCTACAGGCCCCTCCTCACTTTTGCCCAGGCTGTTGTCTCTCCTGGGACCTGGATCTTGTCTCTCGACTCCATCCCCATGTTTGGGATCCTGTCTGAGTTCCCACATCTGCCTAAATGTATCTGTGTGGCCCCGTAATCTGCTCCTTCCTTAGTGTGTTGTCCTTTCTCCGGTTATTCACCTGGGCCCTGTTCTTCCTGGGGGGCAGAAGCAGGCTCCAGTCCGGGGATCACAGGGTGCCCCATGGCACTGGCAGCTAAATTGGCAGGCAGGGCCATAATGTCCAGGGGAGCAGGACTGAAGGCAGTTTGGAGGCTGCAGGCCCGAAGGGCAAGAACACACTCCGCTCTTGGGGTCACAGGAGCTGCTGTTGCCACAGAGGCAGGGCTTGTCACACTTCAGCCCCCACATTCCTGGGGCACACTCTTTGGGATGAGAACAGAAGAGGATCACCAGAGGTCCAGTCACTCTCTGGCCCCCTTAGGCTGTGTCTGTCTCATAGCATCTACATATCCACCTCCTCTACCCCACTACCACATCTCTGGAGAAGGCAACCAGCCACAGAGGATTCTGGGTAATTGCTCTGGGATCTTGTACTCTGGTAGGGAAGCACCTGAGTTGGCAGCCACTCACCACTGGAGCAGTCGGTGCCCCGCCAGCCTGGCACACACTGGCATTCATTGGGTGCCACACAGCGGCCATGGACACACTCCTGGGCACAGAGTGCTGGGACAAAGATGGGTTGAATGAGTGGATGCTTCCAGCCCTGCCCCTCCTACCTCTTCTCTCTGAAGCCTCAGTTGTGGGGACAGTTCACCATATGCCACTTCTCAGATGACAAAAGACTTAGATCCAGGCACGTGGGATCAGAACTTGACAGGAACCCAGAGTTCTGACTTCCCAGCCCCTTCGTGTGAAATTTTCTGTGCAGCTAGTTGGAAAAATGGGATTGTCAAGTTGGAGCTGGACACAGATGCTGCCAGAGAGAGGGTGAGGACTGAGATGGGGTTGGGCCAGGCTTTTGGGGAGGAAAATCCGGAGGAGGAGGCTGGTGATGGGCCAGAGCTAAAGGGAAAGGAGGGCAGGAATACAGGGGGAGCAGCAGAAACTGGACAGTGACCAGTCAATGTCAGACAGCAATAGAGACACAGAAACAGAAGAGACAGAAAGAGACCCAGACACCAAGCCTGAGACACAGAGACAGACACAGAGAGAAACCAGAGACAAGATGAAAACTCTGGGACAGACAGATGCAGACAGGGACATGCTCAGGGACATGGAGAGATGGGATAGGTCAGCTGGAGAGATGGTTATGAGGTGTGAAATGCTGGCTAGCTCCTGGGAACCCCAGCTCCTTGGCTATGTCAACACCTGGCCCCAAACTCTGTATCTTGCCAGATGAATGGCTTCCAGAGCAAGGCAAGGCCAACCTCCATTTCTACCCCATCTGCTGGACCTGCTGCTCTGGCTGCTAGACAAGGAGCAGAGGAGCCGCCCCACCCTTCAGGGCAGAGAAAAATTCAGAAGGGTGGGCTAAGCCCCATCCCAAAGCAGCACTCACGGACACAGGCCCCACTGCTCTCGTAGAAGCCCTGGCAGCACTGCAGGCGTGGGCGGTAGTCCATCTTCACCACTTGACGGTACACAGTCCGGTACACAACCCTAGGGAGCCCAGGAGCTGCCCTCAGTGCTCCTGGATGCCCACCCTCGGCACAGAGCAGCACTGTGGGAGGCCAGTGTCCAACACCCTGGGCTGAGAGGACCTGGGAAGAGTATTTATTCCCTCCTTTCCCCCACCAAGCACACACACACATGTATGCAGTACAGCACACATGCACACCACAGACACACAACACATAGACACACAATACACATTCATATATATCCCAGTGGGTACGTGCACACACACACACACACACACACACATTTGTGAATGCCTTGAGGTCAGATATTTCCTGTGGATTCTAAAGGTTCTAAGAAGAGAACAGGGTACGGGGTATAGGGGCCAGGGCAGGCAGCTCACCTGCCCGTGGAGGGGCAGGCACTCACGTGGGCTGGGGGCAGGCCTGAGGGCCCTCCCAGGGCCTTTCGCAGGACTCCGTGGGGAGAAGGCTGAAGGGACGGGAGTGGGACTCCTTGGTGGTGGTGGTGAAGCTGAAAGAGGGAACAGGTCAGGGAGGAGGGTAGGGTAATGCCTGAAAGAGAGAACAGGTCGGGGAGGAGGGTAATGCCTTAGCCGGCACAGGGGTGAAGTGGGAAGCAGAGATGAGGGCTTGGCCAGTGGGAAACCAACACCCCAAAATCTGGGCTTGCTCCCCTAAACTTAGGATAAAGCCCTCATTCTTCCCCACCTCTAAAGCCTCGAGGTCCTCCCAGCATTGGAGTGTTCTGGGGACGCTGCCTATCAGAGCACTCTTCTCACCTTGTCGTCCAGAGCTTTCCATCTTCTTCTGCTCCCTTCCTGGGAAGATGGAGCTAAGCAATGCCTGAGTAATCATGAGCAGTTTAAGACCCATTTCCCAGCACCCTTGTCCCCCTTAGCTAGCCCCTGGGCCTGCTCCACAAGAAAGGGCTCCTACCCTAAGCTCTGTCCTGTAGCTGATCTCCCATAAGGGTTTTTCAGGGACAGGGATGGAAAAAGGACAGAGTCAGAGGAGGACAGAGACTGAGATAAGAGCAGAGATGGGGAAGGAATCAGAGGCAGCCCATGCAGGGCTGAAAGAAACAATGACAGGAAGGTGGCAGACTAAAGAAGAACCTGGGAGGAGGAACCCCCAGGGACAAGTTAGGGCTCTTACTCACCTTTCCCAGATGGTGCAGGCATTGGGATCATTGGAGTTGAGTGTTCTAGCCAGCCTCAGGTCCAGGGCCAGGAGGAGAAGGAGGGGACACAGAGATGGCAACATTTCGGAGGCCTGCAACAAGGCCAGGTACAGAGCAGGTAAGTGGTGCTGTATGCAGCAGTCAGGAAGACAGTGTCTGTGGCAACCTGAGCAGCAGGCATGCAGAAGAGCCCAGTCTGCTGACCTCTCCGGTCATCCATCCCCATGCTGCCTGGCCTCCAGCATCCCCAGATCTTACTCCAGGGTGTGAGGTACATGTCTATGCTACAGGATCTCAGCTTGTAGTCTGCTTGGACACCATAACCCTGGTTCTTTCTGAAGTGCTCATCTTTCAAGTAGCTGACTGCCTCATCCTCTCTTCTGAATTCCCCCCTCCCCAAGCACCACTTGCCCACACATAAGTGTTCTAGGCCTGTTTCCTGTCCATGAACTCCAGAGACAAAGACTCTAGGATCTTTACTTCTGAATCCTCAGTCTCTAGCCCAGGGTACACCCAAGACACTTTGCTTTTGTTTTTGGTCTATGGTAGAGCTTGAACTCAAGGCTTGGGTGCTGTCCCTGAGCTCTTTTTGCTCAAGGCTAGCACCCTACCATATTGAGCCACAACTCCACTTTCAATTTTCTGGTGTTAATTGGAGATAAGAATCTTGCAGACTTTCCTGTTCGGACTGGCTTTGAACCATGATCCTCAGATCTCAGCCTCCTGAGTACCTAGGATTACAGACATGAGCTACCAGTCCCCAGCTTCAAGACACTTTGATACTGCAACCAGTGTGGGAAGCCATTTGGGCTCAGAAAGAAATTTCCAACAGGGTGGCTTCTTCAGCCAAAATTGTTCTGAGGAAATAGTGTCTCTCACAGGATTCCCGCTCTATGGGGTAGGAATAGGGCTGGTTCCAGGCCACCTAACTGCCACTGGTGTGTTGCAGCCAGCTCATTCTGGGCTCAGGAGAAGCAATTCTGTGTATCTTTCCTAACTTCATGGTATCACATCAGGAACTTGAAATGGAATTAACACCACAGAAATCAGTAAACACTACACAAACATCACAACCAAACTGCCTACCAGAGCCAGTTGCGAAATATTTTCCATCACACCCTTACATCCAGCTTTAGGTGTCATCCCGCACACAGAGGTCCCTGTCCCTACCAGAAGGCGGGAGAGCCTCACCTTCCTCTGAAAGCTGGCAGCCAAAAAGGAAATGGGTTCTCTTCATCCCTGCACCCCTAGCCTTGCCCAGCAGGTGGGAAGAGGGTCAGGACCAAGGATGAGTCGTTCACTCCTCCCCTGGGCTCCAGAGAGGCTGGGTGCTGGAGTCCATCCCCCACACCCCGTGCTTTCTGATTCTGCACTTCATGTTCTTAAAGTTTGCACAGGCTCCCTGCTCTAGCCTCCCTGAGGCACACACATCTGCTTGTAATTTTTCCTCAAGAAGAGAGAAAGGTCGTGGTTGTTGGCCCCTTACCCCCCTGAGTATCTCTGGAATGCTTACAGCCAGCCCCACCCCATGCCCCCCACCCACACACTGGTCCAGCTTTTCCCTCATTTCCGCTCAGGAGGCCCCCCCTCTTTCCCAGCAGGTCTTAGTCTGAGATAGGCTGCCCACTGCAGAGACTCTCCCCGCCCCCGCCCCATACATACACCTTTAACCCTTCTGCCGTCAAATCTCACCATCATCTAGAAAGGGCTCCTCTGCAATCCGCTTCCTCTCCTCTCCCCCATAGCAAACTTTTACCCACTCCCTCCAGTCATCCAGGGCCACTTGCACCCCATCACACCTCCTATAGGGTCCATCTCCACCTCTAGCCTTCTCATAATCCACCCAACCCCCAAGTCACTCACCAGGTGGGATCAAGGGAACTCAGGTGAGCCAGGGGCTGGTGCGATCCTGAAGAGCCAGAGGGCGTCCTGGGGGATCCCAGCACTCAGGATCTGGAGTCTGGAAATAGGACACAGCCTGGTTTGGATGGAAGTGCAGAGAGTGGAGAACTCCACCCTCCCCCACTAACCCTCAAGGCAGTCGATAGGACTCCAGGAAGGACCCAAAGTCCAGAGGCCATCTTCTGGTCCTTTGGCTACTGAACTGGCCCCGTGGCCTACTCTTGGAGGTTCGGGACTTGGCCCAATGACCAGGGAACTCAGCCACAGTCAAAGCTGCCCTTCAGATGTGCTTCAGTGGCCTAAATGTACTTCCCACACAGCTCCATTGCCAGAATCAGTTCCTCCTCTCCGTGTCCTCACCCTGCCTCCCCACCCTGCCCTGCTCTCGGCCCACCTCTGGAGCTTGCTCTATCAAACCTACTCACTGCTCCCCCAGGTAAGCCTGACAGCCAGGCCCTTAGGAGGGACCTTGAGTCCCCAATACATCTCTAACCCTCCCAGCTCTGGCCCAGACAGGAGGTCCCAGTGCTCAAATTTCAACTCAGTCTGCCTGAAGCCAAGGTTATCATCCTTGTCCCTGTGGAAGCCTCTTCCCTAAGCCACACAGTGGCCTCCCCCTACCCTAGCCACTGTGGTCATGGAGGGGTGGACAAAGGTTTCATCAGGAAGGACTTGAGTTAAGGTACAAGTAGGATAAGATGCAGGATGCATGCCCGCACCAGTCCCCAGACCCTAAGATCACCTCCTACCAATCAGCTGTTAGAAGACACAGTTTACCTGGGATCTCTGGGGTGGACTTGTGGAGGAAGAAGGAGGTGGCGGCATGGGGAAAAGGTGACTCTGGCTGGCCAAAATTTAGCTGGTTGGCTGGGGGCTAGGTTCCAACTTTTTTCAAGCTACCTCAGGGTAGGGCAGCAGTGTAGAGGAGGCATCAGCTGCTCAATCCAGAGGGCTGGAAGCCAAAGTTGGGCTAGGGGAGACCGGTGAATGGACAGGACAGAGAAGAGCTATGAGGGGGGTCCTGGAAGGGAGAAGGGTTTGGCCTAGCCATCCCTAGCCAGATCAGGAGCACATAGCCTCAGCCTGGACTCCCAAACTTGTTCTTCTTTGAGACTTTTTCCCCAAGAGGCTGGGGAGCCAGTGACTCTGCCCGGTGCTCACTTAACAACCTTCCAGTCCCAGAAGCATTGGGCCCATGTAACTACATTCCAAGAGGTTTTAGTCCATCACTATCTGCCTTTCTTCCCTGCCCTGGGGACCCACAGTACACTCACCTTGGGGCTCCCAACCTCCCCATTGCAGGTCTACTTCTTGACATACAAAGGTACCTATTTTCTCCTCAGAAGCCCAAACAACCTTTCACAAGAATAAAAATGTGAGACAGGCACTGGCTGTAATCCTAGCTACTCAGGAGGCTGAGATCTGAGGATCATGGTTTAAAGCCATTCTGGACAGGAAAGTATGTGAGACTCTTATTGCAGATAAATTACTCAGAAAAGGCCAGAAGTGGCGCAGTGGCTGAAGTGGTAGAGCACTGGTCTTGAGCACAAAGAGGCTCAGAGACAGTGCCCAAGCCTCAAGTTCAAGCCCCAGGTCTGGCAAAAAAGAAAAAAAATGAATAAAAATGTGACTCTCTGTATCTATTGTTCAATGTGTTGAGACAGAAAGGGTGCTGCGCAATTTGCATAGGTCATCTCCATAAAGCTCCCATCAGGCCCCTGCAGAAAGTACTAGAAGCCACTTTACAGATAAGGAAACAGAAGGCACAGCCAGCCAGCAAACGTAGGAAACCTTCTCAAGGCCACACAGCCAGTGGTGTCAGAAGAGGATCCAAACTCAAGACAGCTGCCAAGAGGCCTTCCAATGATTCCAGTCTTTCCTGAGTCCAGAAGGAAAGCCCAGGGGCTTTGTGTAGCTTTTTTAACAGCCTGAGTTCTGGGAGTGAGGAGCTGTCTAGGGGAGGGGATGGTGGGCTGCCTGATTAGAGGCGTGGGAATTGCAAAGTGCGCATAAGACTGAGCTGAGTCTCTCTCCACCTCCACATGCAAATCAGCTGGGCCCCTGGCCAGCCATGGTGCTCCTCTTCCTGCTGCCTGCTTGAGCCCAACATTCCTGCCTCTCCTCTTCCCAGCCCACACAGGGCCCAGCCCAGATCCTGGCCCTGCTCGTCCCCAAACGTCATCTCAGCCCCCGGGAGGAGAAAAATGAGTCTGGGGTCTCTGAACGCTGGCAGAATTCTTGGTCAAGGGGAGAGTGCCCATCTCTATAAAAAGCAGCAGCACTGGGACTGATGGAAGTGAGACAGCAAGAGGGACTTTAAGACAATTCCTGAGCTCAGCATCCTCCACCCAACTCCAGCTCCAAGCGCTGTAGAAGAGAAAGGGTTGTCAATGCTCCTCCATCTGGGCTATTGTGCAGGTTAAACGGGGTGCTTTGATCCTGTTCTTTGAGCCATCCCCACTAATGTTAACTGTCCTCAGAATCACACCCCCAGTCCCTCTCTTACCCAGCACCCCACAGGGCCCCTTCCCTCCCCTGGGCACCATCACAACTTCTCAGTATTAATTCCAGGAAAAACTGTGGGTTTTTTATTTTTCTGAAGAACCCCCAGGATGATCCGGGAATAGGGCCGAAAATGCTGACAGAGAGAAAGGAAGTAGGGATGGGAGGGGGCCAGGCTCCCCCACTAGAACCTGATCCCCCCAGAATGATGGGCTGCCGGCCAGGTACATCTTCAAGCCAGAGGCAGTTGACAAGGCAGGATGCCTGGATTCTGCTTTCCCAGCTCTCAGCCCAGCCCCAACTCCAGCTCGTGTTCCCCTCCCGCTTCATTCTCCCTTCCTTCCTCCCTTCCCCTTTTCATCTTATAATCCTGTCTATTGCTTGAGCCTCCATCTCCACATCTGTAAAATGGGTGGCCCCCTCAAATCTTCCAGGATTCAGTGAGGTTCCAGTAAGCACTCTGGATCAGAACCTTGGGCTAGAGCCTCTTCCTGTTTTACTCTTTCTGTCTCTCTTTCCCTTCCTTTCCCCCTTTTCTTTCTTTCAATAGCATCTTGCTAAGTTGCCCAGACTGGCCTCAAACTGAAAATCTTCCCACCTCAGCATTGAATAACTGGGACTACAGGGACATGCCTCCACCTGGCAGTGTTTCCTTGTTCTGCATCAAAACCTCTGCTAGCTGACATTTCCTTCATCTGTTTCTTGGGTTCTATCTTTCTACATCTCCCCTTCATCTTCTCTATCCACAAAGGAGAACTTCTATTGCCATGCATGGTTGGGAAGTATGTTCACTGCACAAGGCCATTCCCCTTTGAAAGACAAGTAGAAAGCTGGGTGCTGGTGGCTCACACCTGAAATCCTATACTCAGGAGGCTGAGAACTGAGGATCGTGGTTCAAAGTTAGCCTGTGAGACTCTTATCTCCAATTAACTACCAGAAAACCAGAAGTGGAAATGTGGCTCAATGTGGTAGAACAGTAGCCTTGCACACAAAGAGCTCAAGGATAGCATGTAGGCCCTGAATTCAAGCCCGACAACTAACAACAACAACAACAAAAAGAGTAGAACTAAACTCCGGCCATAGACCCCGCACCAAGCTGTACATTTTAGCTTGGTGTGTTCTCTCTGTCTCTGTCTCTATCTCTGTCTGTCTGTCTGTCTGTCTGTCTGTCTCTGTCTGCCTCTGTCTCTATCTCTGTCTCTGTCTGTCTGTCTGTCTGTCTCTCTCTCTCTCTCTCTCTCCCTCCCTCCCTCCTGCCCTGCCCCCTCATCTTTCTTTTCCTGTCTGTTTCTCTATGCCCTTTTCTATCTTTGCATTAAAGACAAAAAAATCACTTCATCCTCCCCACTGGGGCAGTGAGATCCCAGTCTAAAGATCCTTCCTCTCCCTCCCCACACAGGGACCTCCACCAATAGCCAAGGCTGCCCTGCTCCACGCCATACAGCACACACATGCCCATTCTGGCACATGCACACAGCCCCTCCTACATCCAGAGAAGCTGGGTCCTCGGCACGCCAGGCATGTCAGCCGGATAGAGGGACAGGAAGCCTGAGCGTGCAGCAGAGGCTGGGCGGGAAGGGGCAGGGGTGAGGAACCGGCCTTGTGCACTGTGCAGCTCAGGAAACAGAAGCGAGAGGGTCTGCAGTCGGCCCTGTTTACTCATCAGGAAATAGGGACACTGCAGGGACTCTGACTCACTGAACTGCTACTACATGCCTGCTGGAGGTGGGCACCAGCGCCAGTCCCAGCTCTCGCCACTGTCCATCTCACGGATGAGGTGGTGGAGAGTCTTGACAGAATGGCTTGTCCAAGGGCTATGTTGGCACTAGAATCTGCTCCAACAACCAAGCAGTGGACAAGGCTGCACAGACGAGGGAATGGCACCACCCCCTCCACCGCTGTGGCCGGCCCTGCCCCCCAACCACCACCTAATCTCTACCTTCAGAAAGTATCTTTCTATGCTGGCTACTCTGCTCTACAGCCTTCTGGGGCTCCCTACCACAGGAAGGGGCAGCCAGAAACCAGCTCCACCCAGGACACCTTGCTGCCCCTACATGCCTCGCAACCAGTCAGCCCCCTTGGCCCAGGTCCCTTGAATTATTTAGGGCCTCCCCAACCTTCAAGGCCAGCCTCTTCCAGGAAATCCCAGTGCTCAAGCATTCCCATCTCCCACTGTGCTGCAAGCTATGAGGTTACCAGGGACCCCTTGGCCCATAGGACATGTGATTATTCTTCCCCAGCTCTTCCCTAAGGCTGATTCCATTTGGGACATGGAACAATCTTCAGAGGCCTGACCCTTTCTTAAACCCAGCCAAAGACTCAGTGGCCTACCTCTGGGGACCAAGGAGAACTAAGCCCACACACTCACACTCCAGGCTATGAACTACACACACACACACACACACACACACACACACACACACACACACACACCTCTGTGATGGTCGCCCCCAAGAGGCTGGGGCTCGTCCCTTCTCTCTGCTCTATTTCTCTGTTCATGGGCTAATGTTCCCTCCCAACTCCTTTTCTATGAACTAGGGTGGTGTTTTTGTTTGT